AAAAAAAAAAAAAAAAATCAACATTCCAAGTCTGGGCAAGGGAATCAGACCAGCTCTTCCTCCTGGATGACTGCAAGAGGGGCTGTGAATACAGGGGCAGGAGAGGAGAATGACAGAGCAGCCTGTTTCTGATAGGTAGCATACAACAGCAAGAGAGTATTTCTGGAGCTACAAAAATAGGAGACAGACCCAAGAGGTAAAAGAAAGAAAAAAAAATATCTTGGAAAGTGTTTCTCCCCACCAAAAGCTGCATCTATAACTGTTAATATTCTGGAGATCTAAAAAACAGACTTAAAATCAAATAAATTACATCAGTCATCAGTGGATTACAGGGCTGTTTCCAGGGCTCCTTGAAACAAGCTGCACTACAGCCTTCTGGCCAACTACCAGTCATTAATTCATTGTTACAGAGCTATCACAGCAATAATGCTGTTTTACTTTACCATATATGTATTATTTTAGCAGTTATGAGAAAATATATAGCTGCAAAAAAGTGATACCAGACAGACTGCTGCAAAGAAGTGTTCTCTGAAGCAGAGATACACTCACTTCTGAAAGAGGTAGACTTCAATAATGGCATCAGAGATATAAACAGATTGCCTTCCTTCTACTTTCATTGGAGTGCCAGCTGCTATCAAATAAGACCTTTAAAATTCAGAGGCAGACAGAAAGGCCCATAGCTCTCTCAGCTTTTTATATGAAAATATCTGGCAGAGAAGGAATTCAGGAAATGACGTGGAGATTGATTGCTTAGGCTGGAGCAGTAAAGCCACAGGACATTAGGGCAGTATGGCCAACCAGAGAAATGCCTAACAAATCTGACTGTTGCCACATACTCAGTAGACTCCTCATCTACTGGCCTACCAACCCCTAGTGCTACGGCAGGCACACCAGTCACCTTGCCTTTCACTTTGCAGAGCTCTTCCCAAAACCTCCCTCACTTACTCGGATCTGGAGAAGTGGAAACAGCATCTTCCACAGTATCCTTGTTTTGGGTCCGGAGGTTCATCCCTACAAGAAAGCAGCATGTATTTTCAGTAACAATTTGTGTGCAACATACATTTTTCACTGCAACAAAATACATTAATTACACACAAAATTCAAGGCATTTAAAGCCTTTCCTCACAGATGCTCATTCAAGTCACTGGACAATATAAAATACACTAAGAAAACCAATACATAAGGAAGCTACCTCCCATCAACATCGCCAGTGCTCCCCTGCTCCCCCTCCACCCTCAAAGACTTACCTGGAGCGAGCTGCAGGAGCCCCACCTGGCTGCCTTGTGCATGTATACACATGCACATGGAGCCCCCAGCCCCAAGCAGCCCCTTGCAGGCTGGAACTTTACCAGCCTGCAAGGGGAAACCCAGTTTCCCAGGTTGTTCTCCTTTAAATAAAATCCAGGTTTTTTCTGCAGCAACCAGAAAACCCAGATCTCTGCTAACAACATCAAAATATAGGAAAGTAGAGCTGGAAGGGGCTTCAAGAGGTCATCTAATACAGTTGCCTACTCAAGGCAGGATCATTCTTGATTAAGCCATCCCAGTCAAGTGTCCAACCAACCTTCTCTTAAAAATTTCCAGGGATGGGGATTCTACAATATCTCTTAAGTAGACAGTTTCAATTCTTAGCCACCCTCAAACTCAGAAAGGTCCACCTAATCTCCACCCTAAATTTCTTCTGTGGCAGATACAGGCTATTGCTCCATGTCCTCTCCCTTACAACCACAGAAAAAAGGCTCTCTCTATCCTATTTTTTATTTTATATACCACTGTCCTTCAGGCATCTGAAGACTGTTAATCAAATCCCCTCCTCAGTCTTCTCGTCTTCAAATTAATTAATCCTAGTTCTTTCAGCCTTTCCTCATAATTCACGTTTCCTAGGCCCCTAGTCATTTTTGTTCCTCTCTTTTGTTGGACTATTTCTAGTTTGTCCACATATTTCTTGAAGTATGGGGCCCAAAACTGGACACAATGCTCCAAGGGTTGCTTCACCAATGCCAAGTAGAGCTGAAAATTATTAATAATAATAATAATTTATTGTTATTATTAGTGATAGATCTTAGAATGGAAAACATCAATAAAAGTTGATAAAAGTAATCAAGGACTGCAAGAGGCAGCTAGGCATTCGTTTATTATTTTTCAACTTATAAAATGTAGCTATCTACACCTCTATATCCTTGAAAGGAGAAAGAGTTAATACACACATATTGGGAGAAGGAAAAACAACAAGTAGTGTGGAATTACCAGATTTTGAGATATGCTCTCCTCTCATCTACGCTAGGAAAGATCAATACTAACCATGGACTTAAACTGAGTTCCTTTGAATTTATGGTAGTGCAACTGAAAACAAAATCAAACTCTTCATATTTAAAACCTTTAATAGAAAGTTATGTTGGTTTGCTTCATTACAGTCCACACAAGAGCTCCGCGCATGATCAAAGGTCAGGAAAACAGACCTGACGACAACAAGCTGAGAGCCATGGGGCTCTTTAGCCTGGAAAAGCGCAGGCTCAGGGGTGATCTGATGGCCACCTATAAGTTTATCAGGGGTGACCACCAGTATCTGGGGGAATGTTTGTTCACCAGAGAGCCCCAAGGGACAATGAGGTCGAATGGTCATAAACTACTGCGAGACCGTTTCAGGCTGGACATAAGGAAGAATTTCTTTACAGAC